TCTTGCGCCACTCAACTGCAGTTTGACTTTTGAGTACACCCACTCTCGCCGCGGCGCCTCTACCGGCTCTGCCGACTCTGCCGCCTCCTGCTCAGCTCAGGCTCGTCGGCACCTGCCACTTGATATGTCTGCAGTTTGCGCACATCTTGGAATTTATTTACTTTTCAGCTGCATGGCACACTCCATGTGTCATTTTTATCGCACCGTTGCCTTTCCGAGTGTGCCAGCATTAAATTGCCAACTGCAACCACTGCACCCCCTCGCTCACCATCGACGTCATTTTCGCTATTGACGACGACGCCGCGTCGCTGCTTTTATATGAGTCAGAACTACATTGCCAAGTGATTCGAGTTGATTGTGTGGACTCATTACTACAGAGTCTATAGCTATTACATGATGGGCACACATGTGCATCCATGTGTATGTATGTATGTATGTGTGTGCGTGTGTGTGAGTATTTGGTATACTTATTTTAGTATTTATGACCCACAATAGCCACAAAGTCATCGCACAGCCATCAGCAATCATATAATCAATTGCAGCAAATCATTTACGAATTTCTTGTAAAAGAATCAATGGGAAATAATATCTATTTTTTTTAATATTTCTCTTGCTATATCTGAAAGGAAAAACTGGGCTTGTATTTATATAAAAGAGCATGTATTTATATAAAGGAGGAGCCCTGGCATAGCCCATAAAGTCTATACACATATATTCCTTAACAGATGGTTGAGCTGAGTCGATCTAGACATGGCCGCGAGCTCGTCGATCCATCTCTCTCTCTATGCTTGAATGCGTCGATCTCAGCCCCTATAAAAGCTAGAGCCTTGAAATTTGTTTTGGTGCCTCTTTTTAAATCAAACCGTATTCAACAACAACATTTTTTCCCGAAACGCAGTCCAAGAGCCGTCCAAGCACATCCCAAGCGCAGTCACTGCACCAATTACGCAGTTAGCAGGGCGCGTGCTGATGCGTGGGTATGTATGTGTATGAGTATGTGTGTATTTGTGTGTGTGTTTGCGAGCATCTCGTTTCTATGTATGCATAGAAGAAGCGTAGAGTAATTGGAATATCAAGTCTTTCAAGGGTTCAGAGGATCTCTTAGTCGAGCAGTCTCGTCTCTAGCATTCTTGGTTGTTAAACTTCTTCTATATATTATGAATTAACTTTCATTTAACTTCAAATTAATGTTTATTTATTAATATTATTATTATTATTTCAGCTAAGTATAATGTGATTAAAATTCAAATGTTATTTCACGCCCATTTGCAGCCCGTCACATTAGCCGCAACAATTTGATTTCTTGCGCCATTTTTTTGAATATGAAAAAAGATTTCCATAGTTTTTATATAACTAGCTGTTAGTTAGGCTAGCTAGCAGAGCTAAGCCTAACCTACTTAGAGATGTTGTTTATTGTTGTTGTTGTTGCATTTAAAAACCACAAAAAGAAAACTTTAAAATATGCAAATGCGTTTCCCAGCACAGATTCGAGTTGGGAAATACAAAATAAAAAAAAAAATAAAACGAAAAAAAAAATGGAAATTAAGAAACTCATAAAAACTGAAGAAGAGTTTGGACCCAGTTGCCAACACGTTTCTGACATAAATTTCAGGAAATTTCTTAACGTTTATGAATTAAACATACATCAAAGATGCTGCTAATTATCCAATTATATATAACACTCTCTCAGCAGAGTCCGTGTCTTTCGTTTGTTTGGGGAAATTGTGTGAAAAGCTTTAAAAATTCAAAATTAAATTTTCAAATCCATTTCTACGTTTTGCATTTCATTCAGATGCAATGCAATGCAGAACTTGTTGCGAGCAAAGCCGGTTAAAAACTATTTGCAACAATATTTAAGCACTGATAGCTCTCGGCCTCGCACTGCCAGCACACCTGTGCAGCACACCTTCGCAGCCAAAGCGGCGCTATGTGAAAAAGCATAAATAGTTTTTGTTTCTCTCTCTCTCTCTGTCTGTTGCGCTCTTTCTCTAGCCTTCCTCTTTCAAATGTAACTGCTCTCTTCTTTGTTGTAGCAACATGTTGGCCGCTTGTTGCTGTTGCTGTTGCTGTTGTAATTTTTCGCATAAATTTACATTAATTTATGCAATTGCATTGCTTTTGTTGTTGTTGTTGTTGCTGCTGCTGCTGCTGCTGCTGCACTGCGGTTGCTGCCTGATAGCCTTTTTTTATCGCATTTTTATTGTCATTTGTGTTTTTATTGAACACTTTGTGACATTTTACGATTTTCAAAGTGAAAGGTACATATTTGTTAAATTCGCCATGGAAAAGAAATGAAGTTCCCCTTTAAAAAGAGAAGCAAACATCCCAAAGAAAAACCTGAAACTCTCAGCGAGTCTGCTTGACTGCCAGATACCACGTAAAAACACTGTTCATTAATTTTTAATTCCCATTCTCTGTGAACTAACTTTCACTAATATTTAACAGCAGAATATTTTTAAACAAGTCGAAGCGCATAAGAAAATGTTATACAATTCTATAATCTATTGTAAGGTCAATCAGCTCCCATAGGCAATACGAACTGGATTCACTCGACATTGTTTATTGTAGGAAAAAAAAATATATAAAATAATAATAATAATAATAATAATAATAATAATAATAATAATAATAATAATAATAA